TTTCCAAAATTAGATAAAAATTCTTTTGATGTCGCATTGCTTTTATACATACATATGTACATAGAAAATGCATATAAGCTACGTTAGCAAAAGCATTTAATTAATTCCGAAATTATAAAGTCCACGCATTTTTCATCGCCTAGAAAAAAAAAATACAAGTTAAAATGGCTTTGCCATCTTCAGTGCCTTGCTCTTCCAACAAAAGTACGTACTNAAGACAGTCCACAGTGGTATGGTATGGCAAGCCTTAAATTATGGCAAAACAATTTTCATAAGCCACAAGCAGAGGTACAAGTATTTAGTAGAGCAGCGAGCAGGGGAAGCAGTGGTGAAAAAGTCGCATAAATACGCAGCTGAAGAAGCTGGTAGTGGCAGAGGGGAAGGAGGAAATAATTTAGACTGCGGAGGGGGCGAAATAAGTTTGCGAATACAAAAATTTTAAGCTCTGACTCCTCAAACTTTACATTTGCGCCACCGCGTATGGTTTCAATGACTTGGCGCTAACGTAGCATGTGGCACATATGTATGTATGTATGTATGTATAGCAGTTGCCGAGCGAAAAGCGCATTTATGAACGTGACATCCCCTGACACGGCATAAAGTGGCGCACAGAGAGAAAACAAAAGCCTTATCATCGTTTGATCAAATTAAAATAATTGCGCTTAAGCACCTGAAATTATGCTACAGTTGGTTGCTATTGTTGTTGCTGTTGCTGGTATTGTTTTCTTTTTTTTTTCGTCTTCCTCTTAACTTCACACATTTGTTTTTCGCATGCGGGTGTGTTTGTCACTTCCGTGGTGCTTACAGTACTACAGGTACTACATACTTACATATCTATATAAAGACATATATATGTACTTATACAGCTTTTCTATGAATACTGTCGCTGCCACTGACAGATGCGCAAATAAATGGAAACAAAGCAAAATAAGCATATTGAATGAGATAAGCGTGATAACAGCAACCGCAGCATGTGTTTGCCCACTTATCTCGCATGTCATGGTGTTTGCACGCTTCTGGTTTTGAATTAAAATGTAAATATGTAAACATAAATATTTACTTGAAATATATTTTACGTGAATTTTAAGGAAATAATTCTGCATAATATGTATTAAGAGCGTAGTTATTTTTTAAGTCGCACGAATGATGATTTTTTCCGGATTTTTTTTTTTTTAAGAATATACATTTTTTATATGTATAGATATTGAACTACTCGACTCGAAGTGGTAAAATGAACTCATAATAATATTTTACGCCTAAATACACTTTTTTGGATAATATTAGCGGATCTATGGATCGCAAAGAAGTTTTCACCTTTTGCACGGAATCATTGAGTATGCTGACCAAATTCAGACATCGCGGCCGAAAAACAATTTTTTTTCGTGCTGTCGAAAGCGGCTTTGAAATCGATAAATAGATGGTGCGTGTCGTATATCTTTTCTCAATAATTTACCGTATTGTGAATTCCTGATCTATGGTGGATTTGCCAGGTCTAAAGCCACACCGGCCCATTCAGTTCGTTGGCGGTGGGCTTCAGCCTTTCACACAATACACAATAAAAGACCTTGGAAACTATGCGTAGAAGGCTGATCCCGCGGTAGTTGGCGCGAATGGCGGGGTCACCTTTCTTGTGGATTGGGCAGAACACACTTAAATTCCAGTCGTCGGGCATGCATTCAACTGACATTCTGCACAAGAGTTGATGCATTCACCTTATCAACTCCACCGCCACCGTAGATGAATAGCTCGGCTGGCAGGCCGTCACCTCCAGCAGCTTTGTTGTTTTTCAGTCGCGTAATCGCTATTCGTACCTCGTCCTCGACTGCGGGCTCGGGTTCGTTTTCACCACTACTTTCAGTGCTGCTGCCATTCAATAGGGCGGAAAACTGTTCCTTTCATACTTAAAGTACATTCGGTCACTAAGTCGCCATTGTTGTTCTTACAGGAGTTCGTCCTGATCTTGCAAACTTTCCATAAGTCTTCTAACTCTCTGATAAAATTTTGGGCATTTTTCCTCTCTGCCAGCATTTCCAGCGCTTCGCACTCACGAATTTTGGCCTCTCTCTTGCGGCAAATACGTCTCGCTTCCTTCTTCAGCATCCTATAACGGTCCCACATGGCCCGTGTTGCTCCCAGTCGCAGCGTAGCCCTGTAAGCAGCATCTTTTTTCTCTGCAGCTTCTTGACACTCCTCATCGTACCAGTTGTTCTTTCGAGCTCGCTGACATCCTACTATTTCTTCGGTGGTGGTACTTAATGTGCGGGAAATGTGGCTCCACTGCTCGCATATGTTTATGTAGGTTTGTTAAAGAGTGCTCTCAGAGAGCAGCTGTGTGATTCGAGTGGCGAATAAATTGACCGTCTATTGTGATTGCAGCATTTCAACTTTTAGACGGAGTTTACGTACGTCTAAAACACTGGAAGCATGCCTTCTGTCTAGAATAACATGATCGATTTGGTTTCTCGTTTTTCGATCCTCAGACAGCCACGTAGCTTGATGGATCTTCTTATGCTGGAACCGTGTACTACATATTACCATGTTTCGCGCCCTGGCTATGTCGATCAGCCTCAGACCGTTATCGGATGTTTCATCGTAGAGCCTAAATTTTCCAACAGTGGCGATCGTGTCGGGGGCAGCGCTCATATGTTCTCTCCAAGCACTCATAGAAGAGATCCTTGGACACCCCAACCTTCTCTACCGTGGGAGCATGGGCACAGATGAGCGAGATATTGCAGAATCTCGATTTCATGCGGATTGTGGCTAGACGTTCGTCCAGCGGGACTAACGCCAGAACTCGGCGACGAAGTCTCTCTCCCACCACAAATCCAATACCGTATTTTCACTCCCTTACGCCGCAACTGTAGTAGACATCGCAAAGGCTCCATGCTTCCTTCCTCGCCCCGTCCATCGCATTTCATGGATGGCGGTGGCGTCAGCCTTTATTTACCCTAGGGCCTCAACCATCCGGGCAGAGGACCTTCCCCATTAAGGGTCCGGATATTCCAGGTGCATACCCTCAAATCATAGTGCTTTCTACGTTTGTCGTCAAAAAAGGGGATCTCATCCGTGGCTCCTCACTTTAGCTCAATTCCAAACGATTGTTTTGTCGCCACCCAGAGGATACGTGGATATAAATATCCGGATGTTGTGAGCTGCGATTTGAATGGCAATCAAAAGCTTTTCTCATTTACGTGGACCTCTGCGCACAGAAACATCCCCCAAATATCTCCACTTGAGTCTAAATACCCCTCCTTCGGACCTTTGTCAGGCGATTAACCGGCGGTATACCAAATAAGTATATGTTAGGTGCTCCTGGCTAATTTAATATCAGGATACTGCTTCGTTAAAAAATCGATATTTCTGTGACTCAGAAACCTTTCCGTCCCGATGTTGGTACCCGACATACTTATGAGAGCCCTCTTCAACTGAGCCTGGATACATGTGGCTACGTAAGCACATGCCAGTTTGTGTACCTGTTGTGTGCTTCCGTCAACCCAGATGATGGTTGTTTAAGCTCTTACCGTTAGAAAGGCAAAACTCGAGGATGTTGTTGTGTATATATCAGGGAACGAACATAACAATTATTTGATGAAAATTGTCATTGAAAAATTCACTATGAAGGAAACGTTCTACAACTAAGTGATATATACCAATCCATTTCTTTTTTCACCGAGAACCAAATTTGAAAATAAATTTTTATTTGCAATTTTTATGTAACTTTAAAAAAATATAACAATTTTTGATTTTTATTTTATAAATCCAAAATAACAATATTTTTTTATTTTTATCTAAATAATCTGCAAATAACAGTTTTTTTGATTTTTTTTGTTATAAGTATGTTTTAAAAAATAAAAGTCATTGACTGATTTAGTTAGATGACTTTTAAAAATTAAAGTCACTGACTGATTTTTATTTATGACTTTTACAAAATAAAAGTCCTCGATAACTGTTATCTAAGACATATAATTTGAAAATCAAAAATAACTGTTATTTTGGATTTATAAAATAAAAATCAGAAATAACTGGTATTTGAGGAGTAATTAAATCAAAGTAAAAAAATAACTTATAGATCGATTTTTTTAATAAAAGTCTTAACTGTTACGGTCCGGCCCGGCCTGTTTGAATTTAACTTTTTAAACACGTGGCAACCCACTTTCAATACCTCAAAAATATTCTTAGCATTCAACCTAAAGATTTCTTAACACTCCTTCGTTTCACATTCATATTTTTATGTTTCATATAAACCAAATTCGACATTTCAAAACTACTACTTTTTGAAACCCCTTTCATTTGATACCCACATGTGTATACATATTTTTCTTATCTAATATGGTTTTTTAAACAGGTGGTAACCCTCCTATAGTTCAGCTAATAAACAAAGCTTTTAAAAACCATTTCGGTTGATACCCAGTTTGTAATAATTGATTAATTTTTTTTTAATAATTTGAATATGATTTTTTATAAGGTGGCAACTCTTTTCGAAAAAGTAAAACCTTATTGCACATACAGTCCAAGCCTTAATTTGAATTTAATTGTTCAACAGGTGGCAACTCTTTTCCAAAAAAATAAACATCTTCAGGCCAAGCGCTTTAATTTGACACCTCATTTTGGAAAATCGAAAGAAACGGTGCAGATCTTTTATGCTGAACAAAGAATGCCTTCGCGTAATATATATATAGACGTATATATGTAGATAAAAGTTAATAAAGTAAGCTAGTCCAAAGTCTTGTGTCCTTGCTTTGATTTTTAATTTTGCTCAAGGAATTACTATGAAGAAGAAACATTATTTCAAAGTCAGATAAGGAATTCAAATTTTCCTTTTTACTGATATTCTTCACCAAAAACAAGCGCATTATAAAATCTACTTGAACTTTTTTTAGTCTTTTGTTTGCTTTCTCTACCCTTTCTACACTTTCTGTCATTTCATTTTGTACATACCTTTGCAATTACAAATATTTACACTTATTTAAATTTCCATTTATCTTCTCTCCCATTCGCAGAGTGCAAAATCTTGACTCAATTGTACGTGTCGCAGACCGCGATCTACCGGTGGTCAATACCAGAGGCGACGTACTCTTCAACTCGTGGAAGGGCATCTTTAATGGTCAAGGTGGCTTCTTCTCGCAAGCGCCGCGCATTTACAGTTTTAGCGGCAAAAATGTCCTAACAGATCCATTGTGGTAAGTATCCTATTACTGCTACGATTATTATGTATGTACATATGTGCGTGTGTACGCCTGCTAAGCCTACTTCGGCCACGTTTTTTTTTTCGGTGTTTTTGTTGTTTGTTTTGCCTGCTTCTGTACATTGTGTACACTTTAATCTTTCCATTCACGTTTCATTGTGGTCGCACAGCACATCCATACAACAATGGAGTGTAAGCTGCTTGTTGAAAGAAAAAAAAGTAAAAAAAAAAATGGAAAACAACAATAATTATATTATGTAAACCCAAGGCGTGCTCAACTTTGCATTGAGCAAGTGCGATTACGGTGTGTACGTACGCGCCAGGTTACCGACGACACTATCTCGCCGTTAGCGTGTGCTCAGGTGGCAGATTGCCAGCTTAGCCACATTGAAGTTTGAATGTATGTATGTATGTGTGGGGCGCTCGACGTGCCTTAGCATAAATTTCTCTGCGCGAATGTCAGATTTTCTATTAAAATGCGGTCTAATGCAGAATTATGTGCGCTGTAAGTTTTGCTTAGATATCTAAATGCAGATAGTATGCAGATATAAAAATTTAAATGAAAAACATTTTGAGATTTTATGCAGAAAGCAGCATTGCAATATTGTACAAGTTTTAATCTTGCTATAGCAAAAATTTACAGCTTATTAATTTCGAACTAAATTGAAGGTATAAGATTATATTTTTAGTAGGAAAATCTAAATTATTTTGCACTGAAGTAGTTCAATCCCTTGCATGAACGCAAGAAATCTGAATTGTGGCCATAAAATCAAATGCATTGAAAATGTTATGAGTCCTATTATATAAGAGAACATAGTAACTGCGGTTCATTTTGAATTAATTAAACAAAAAATATGTGTGTCAAAAAATATACAGGCTGCCCTGTGTGAACAACTTTCCAAGTTAGTTTTTTTCCGAGATAATGGGGGCCATCTCCCAATCCAACGCAGAATCATGCTTGCCAACAAGTGCTACTTAAAACTCTTGTCGTACAAAAACCACATTCTTAAGTCCCACTCATCATGAGTATGCTTGTATATGGCGCATATGCATGGACAATGTGGACATCCGAATAGGCGGCCATTGGAGTAATCGAGAAGATATTCTGCGTATTACTGACCAGTCTTTGAGTAGTAGCGGTGGCGTATGCTATAGTCGATGGAACGTTCAGATGTATGAGCTCTGAAAGAATTCGACGGTGATAGCAAAAGAAGAGGAAAGCCTCCTCTGCGGGGCCAATACCAGGATTGGAAGTACTAAGCTTCACTTGGCATTTCCAATTAGAAGATAAATGCTTGGCGTGCTTTATTGGACTTTGGTGGGTCGAGGGCCAAACAAAGGGAAAGAGCGAGCTACTTCTGGTTTATGGCAAATCTTCTTCTTCTTCTAAGACAATTGTGCGCCCACCCCTAGTCTCATGGAATGTAAACCAATAAGGTACTGAACTGAAAGGGTCCTTAAAAATAAGCTAACTCATTTTTTGACGTAGAATACGTCTTACCTTAAGGTATGGGGGCTATGTTCAAATGTTGTAGTTGTAATTTTTAGAGC